CTGGTAAGTATGGGCTTCCCCTGTGGCTCAGAGGTAAAGAATCTGCCTGCAGTGCAGAAGACACAGATTTGATCCCTGGCTTAGGAAGATCCCCTGGAGAAGGAAATGACAACTCACTCTAGTATTTTTGCCTGGAAAATCCCATGGACAGAGGACTCTGGTGGGCTCCAGTCCGTGGGGTCACAGAAGAGCTGGACACAACTTATTGAGTAAACAACAACAAAATAATGTGATCAAAGACACAGCAGTCCTGAGAGGAGGTCAGCTTGTTCTGAGGCCTGGTAATGAATAGGGGTTTGGTCTGAACCCCCCCAGAGACAAAGCCTTGGACCTGCATCAGGCAGAGGGGCTGGAATTGAGGCTCTTGCCTAAAACTAGAGTCATTTATGTGCAACATTCTCAGTAAAATAATGGACTAAAGACAAAAGTCCACTCATCAGCAGAAGGAGCCAGCAAAGATACTTGTCTTCTTTGGCTTGGGTCTGGATGGGAAAGAGTACCCCCTGAGAATCTGTAGTCACAGCCTGTACCTTGCCTGAGTTTGGTTCTAATTTATACTATCCGGGTGGTCCAGGAATCCTCAGGCTAAGACATTAACACATAAATGGCCCAAGGCTGATGACACCTCCTGGGAGACTGGCAAAAGCAAACACAAAATCCCACTGGAAGGACACACCCTGACACAGGATTCTCACAGATGGAGTTCTGTTGAATATGGACTTAAGAAATTTTAAACTCACACGGAAACAATCCATAATGAACATGTGGCCATGGATATGACTAAGAATTTTGGAAAATGTAAGAGATATGAATTCTTAAAGGGCTTCCCTGGTAGTTCATCTGGTACAGAATCTGCCTGCAATGCAGAAGACCCCAGTTCGATTCCTGGGTCAGGAAGATCTCCTAGAGAAGGGATAGGCTACCCACTCCGGTATTCTTGGGCTCCCCTGGTGGCTCAGTAAGTAAAGAATCCACCTGCAATGAGGCAGACCTAGGTTCAATCCCTGGGTTGGGAAGATCCCCTGGAGGAGGGCATGACAACCCACTCCAGTATTCTTACCTGGAGAATCCCAATGGACAGAGGAGCCTGATGGGCTGCAGTCCATGGGGTCACAGAGTCAGACACGACTGAGCAACTAACATAGCACGTGAATTCTTAAAAATAGATGCTTCAAAGTGTTAAAGACATTAATGAAGTAATAAAAGTGCTAGAAAAGAGAAAGATAGTGAAAAGATAATGGGCATATGAAATGAAAAATATGGGCACTGAAATGAAAATATAATAATTGTTTGAAAAAGCAAAATGACATACAAAAAGAATAAGCAAACTGAAAGCTTGAGCTTTCAGAAATTGCCCAGAATTTATTGTAAAAAATTTAGAGAGGTATAAAATATTAGAGATGTTAAGAGACATGGGGGATAAAGTAAAACATTTCAATGTATTACATATCTAATAGAAGTTCCAGCCTGGTGGGCTACAGTCCATAGCATTGCAAAGAGTCAGACACGACCAAATCGACTATGGGCACACACACACATGCCTAACACTATGCTACATCAGTATTGAGTAGTATTGATACTAATTGATACTTGATTAGTATTTGATGGATATATTCTAACTGAATTGTTTGGCCCCATACTCCTGCTCTTTCTTTTGCTGTTGTTGACTCTTAGCAGTGAGCAAGTTTATCCTGATCCTTCTTGCCACTTCTTTCCATAGTGCAGCATCGATCTACACACTTTCTTCACACCTTTCCCTGGAGCAGTAACAAGCTCAAGAAGTCATTTGCCTGTAGCATTTTTCTCCTTGGTCTGTGTCTCTCAAAAACCTTGGTTCTTCAAAATACACCGTGGAGTTGGCTTCCTGGTATCCAGACAGCCCTTACTTAGCCATACCGCCCTGGAGAAAGTTCCTTGATTTTCTGACACTTGCAATCAGATGGGAGGAGTATTGAGATCCTCTGAGGATGGAGACTGACAAAGACTTCTTTGTGCTGCTCCAGTGTGGTTTGGTGTCTCGTGTTGGAGTGCTGAGGGCTTGGACCTGTTCTTACCTGGGCAGGAAGATATCTTCCTCAGTTACAGGAAGACGGCTGTCTGAGCTCAGGGCCCAGGCGCATGATGAAGATAACCGTCTATCTGGCTAGGGCAGCAGCCTGCATGTGATACTTTCATGCAGGCTCTTTTCAGCATTTAAGACTTCAGTCTTAAGCACAATATGATACTGTCCCCTTCCTCCTCCTGGGCTGGCCAGAGTGTTGGCTCGTGACTGCTTAGAGAGCAGGAAGAGGGTGTAGTGCATTTCTGAGACCCTTCCTCCTTTTCTCTCTCCTAGAAGGGGCTGAGGGGCAGGAAGGAGGGTGGAGGAGGCAGAGGTTTCCTTACCTGACCAACCCCCGTGTCAAGGTGGGGAGCTTCCGGGCTGGCTTTCCTGGGGGCGATGTTCAGCTTTGCCCTGGGGCCTGCCTGCTAACCACATACTCCTTGACACCCAACCACAGGAGTCCCTGGGGTTGTCGCTGTATCATCTGGCAGCCACTGAGCACTGGAATGATGGGCGTTACCTGCCTTCCTTTTAGGTGCTGTATGCCATGGGCATAGCTCATGCCATTTCTCCTGAGAAATCTGTATGCAGGTCAAGAAGCAACAGCTAGAACCGGACATAGAACAACAGACTGGTTCAAAATTGGGAAAGGAGTTCGTCAAGACTGTATATTGTCACCCTGCTTATATAACTTATATGCAGAGTACATCATGCGAAATGCCAGACTGGATGAAGCACAAGCTGGAATCAAGATTGCAGGGAGAAATATCAATAACCTCATATATGTAGATTACATCACCCTTATGGCAGAAAGTGAAGAACTAAAGAGCCTCTTGAAAGTGAAAGAGGAGAGTGAAAAAGTTGCCTTAAAACTCAACATTCAAAAAACAAAGATCATGGTATCCAGTCCCATCACTTCATGGCAAGTAGATGGGGAAACAATGGAAATAGTGACAGACTATTTTCTTGGGCTCCAAAATCACTGCAGATGGTGACTGCAGCCATGAAATTAAAAGACATTTGCTCCTTGGAAGAAGCGCAATGACAAACATAGACAGCATATTAAAAAGCTGAGACATTACTTTACTGAAAAAGGTCTGTCTAGTTTTTCTAGTAGTCATGTATGGATGTGAGAGTTGGCCCATAAAGAAAACTGAGCGCCAAATAATTGATGCTTTTGAACTTTGGTGTTGGAGAAGACTCTTGAGAGTCCCTTGGACTGCAAGGAGATCCAACCAGTCCATCCTAAAGGATATCAGTCCCGAATATTCATTGGAAGGACTGACGCTGAAGCTCCAAAACTTTGGCCATCTGATGCAAAGAGTGGACTCATTAGAAAAGACCTTGATCCTGGGAAAGACTGAAAGCTGGAGGAGAAGTGGATGACAGTGGATGAGATGGTTAGATGGCATCACTGACTCTATGGACATGAGTCTGAGCAAGCTCCAGGAGTTGGTGATGGACAGGGAGGCCTGGCGTGCTGCAGTCCATAGGGTCAGAGTTGGACATGACTGAGCGACTGAACTGATGCCAGGGGTCCCCACCTCTGGGATCCAGTGCCTGATGATCTGAGATGGAGCTGATGTTATAATAATAGATATAAAGTGCATGATAAATGTGATGCACTTGAATCATCCCAAAACCAGCCCCATCCTTGGTCTGTGGAAAAACTGTCTTCCATGAAACCAGTCCCTGATGCCAAAAAGGTTGGGGACCACTCTTCTGTGATATATATAGAGCCTTCTGGTCCAGCTGGTTCTGGCCAATCCAGTGAGCCTCCCACCTTCAGAAATCTCTGGTCCAGAAATGGTTCATAACAGTAACGGTGGTGAAATTGTGTCCCCTCAAAAAAGATATGTTGAGTCTTAAACTCTAGTACCCCAGAATGTTCCATATTTGGAAACAGGGTCACTGTGGATATAATCGGTTAAGAAGAGGTCTGGAGGTTGGTGGACCCCTAATCTGATGACTGATGAAGGCACACACACAGAGGACACCAGAGGTGACAGAGGCAGAGATGCAAGTGTTGCAGCTCTAAGCCAAGGAACTTGAAGGCTGGCTGGCAAATCAAAAGAAGCTGGGGTGAGGCAAGGAGGGATTCTCCCCTGTAGGTTTCAGCGGGAGCATGGTGCTGCCCACATCTTAATTTCAGACTTCCGATCTCCAGAACCCAGAGACAATGAATATCTGCTGTTTCCTGCTGCCCAATTTGTGGTTCTTTGTAATGGCAGTCCTGGGAAGCTGAGCTAGTACCTCTTCTCACAATTATAAGGGAACACATACCAAGCACCCTCTCTGTAGTCCCCATGGATGGAGGAGGGGGGCCAAAATGCCACTGCACCTTGCATTTAGGCTTCCAGAACGTTCTCAGAAGAGTTTCTCATCACCCTCCACTCCTATCAGTTCTCCAGCACAGTCACTGGCCGGCAGCGGGAGGAGATGCCAGTCTTTCTTCTTTCTGGCATCTCTAATCTTGATGAGTGGTTCTCTTGGAGTTCCCCTGGTCCTCTTTGGGGCACAGAAAGCACCCTTCTGTTCACTGCAGCGTCCTTCAGGTCCATGCTCCTGTCCTCAGGACCTCCTCCTGTTTCTGGGGGAGGGGCAGGACTTGGATTCCTCTCACCTGTGCTGGGTGACCTGCTCGGTAGCTCTGAACACAGCCTGTGAGGTCTGACTGTGACTGGCCTTTCTTGCCCTCGCCTTGGGTCCTGGCCGTTACCCTGGGCAACAACGCAGCCCCAATCATCCCCTCATTCCCTCTTTAGAGCAGACCCTCTGCTTCACCAGAGCAGGAGCCTGAACCGGCTCCCGATCCTCTGGTGAGAAGGCAGATGACTGGGGCAGGGGGACCTCTAACCCAACAGGATGAATGTCCTTCTAGAAAAGACCGTGTGAAGGCAGAGACAAGGCCCCACGGTCCCAAGCTGCCGTGGAACTCACCTCGCCTTCGGGCTACCTCCAGGGAGGGTCGGGTCTCTGCCAATCCCAGGGGGCGAAATGCGAGCCTCATTCCAGTCTCTTTCGCCGTCAATATTTGCAGCGGAGGACCCTGCTGCTGTGAGCCCTCACGGCTGACCTGGGAGTGGAAAGAGTCCCAGTTCAGCCTGAAACCGAGGTGGGTTGTGGAGACAGGGGCACATGGTATGGCCTTGCCCACGTGTGTCCCCTGCCCCTGCCCGCAGACGTGGATGGGAAGCGGACAATTACCCCAGGTTTGGCTTCCCTTGGCTCTGGCATCTGCAGGGACCCGATGCTCCCAGACCACCTGGAGAACAAGGGGCAGAACTGTCTTTAGAATCAGGAGTGTTGGCCCGCCGAGGTGGCTCCGGAACCGGCTGCTCGCTGGGCTGGCTCTGGCCACAGGGTCTACCCTGCCCGGCATCGCCTTCTCTCCGCGGGTCTCATTTCTGACCAGCTTCCCATCTTCTTTCTTGTCTCCATCACACACAGAGTCAGATTGGCCGAATTCTGCAAGTCGGGCCATCTCCAGGGATGACAGCTGGCCGGTGGGTGGGAAGCCTTGGACTCCCGCCAGCCTGGGTCAGAACTTCTTAGCACCGCCCCCCAGCGCAAGTGTGGGCGGGGCAGCCTCGTAACTGACAGGTCTGGTTGGAGGGCTTGCTTCGCAGCCATGCGTCTGTCCGTCCCCAGCGTCTTCCCGTCCGAAGTCAACCCTCTGGACAGGCCTTTTTCTCAGTGTAAATTCCTCGGGGACAAGAGAGGCAACAGGAGGGCAGTGAGTGCTGAAAGTTCGGAGAAAAGGTCTGCAGAATGGGTGGTGAGGCTGCGTGCTGAGTAGCCTGGCCCTTTGTGTTCTGTCGGGAGGGGTGGGTCCTCAGGGACTCTCCAGGGGACCAAGTCCCGGAAACCCCCCTTCCAGCTCTGCCCCAAGTGTGTGTGCTGAGTTGCTTCAGCCGTGTCCCACTCTTTGCAACCCTATGGATTGTAGCCCGCCAGGCTCCTCTGTCCATGGGATTCTCCAGGCAAGAATACTGGAGAGGGTTGCCATGCCCTCCTCCAGGGGATCTTCCCAACCCAGGGATCAAACCCGTGTCTCTTCTGTCTCCTGCATTAGCAGGTGGGTTCTTTACCACTAGCGCCTCCTGGGAAGTCCTGCCCCATGACGTGTGTGTTTAATGACATTCACTGAGGGTGATGTGTGGAGGCCAGCACGCTGGTCTTCCCCTTCTCACACCTTCTGGAAAGAGGCACCAGGTAGAAACCCCCACATCTGCGGGAACTGACAGTGAGGCCACCCTCAGACCTGGACACCCCAGGATGGTCTAGTGCAGGCTGGGGAGGGGGTGGAAGAGAGCTTCCCAGAAGTCAGTGATTGGGTGGGTCTCACCAGGGACTAGAGAGGGTGGAGGATGAGTATAGAACTACCTGGAGATTTAAAACATGACAAGCAGTTTCCATCTGTTCTCCTGTGATTCTTATGGTTTCTGGCGGGGGGATGGGCAAGTCCATCTTGAAAAGGTTCTCTCCAGAGTGTTCTAATTCTCTCTTGGAGAACCACTGCTCTACCCATGTCATCTCTAAACTTTTTTTGATTGGGTACCCAATGTATTAAAATTTTTAAGTTATGTACCCTCAGTATTTGGGTATTTATTAATTTAAAAATGATACCCATGTACTTCTGTATTCATACATTGTTGTTTTAGTTGCTAAGTTGTGTCCAACTTGTTGAGACCCTATGGACTGTAGCCTGCCAGGCTTCTCTGTCCATAGATTTCCCAGGTAAGAATATTGGAATGGGTCACTGTTATCTTCTCCAGGGGATTTTCTTGATCCAGGGATTGAACCTGTGTCTCCTGCATCGCAGGGAAATTCTTTACCACTGAGCCACCTGGGAAGCCCATTCATATATTACGGTCATCATAAAGAAAACACAAGAATAGAAATTAACAGTGGGCATGCTTAAAAATAAATTAATAGGAATGGGGACTTCTCTGGTGGGCTAGTGGCTCAGACTCTGCCCTCCCAATGGAGGGGCACAGGTTGAATCCCTGGTTAGGAAACTAGATCCCACAAGCTGCAACTAAGACCCAGCACAGCCAAATAAATATTTTTAAAAATAGAAATGGAATTTCCAGTATTTTCTTACCGACCCCTAACTCACCTGGTGCTCCTCCCCAGGGTGTATGTAGCCCTTTGGGAGACCACTGTTCTCATAACTCAGGGCCTGGCACTCAGTAGGACAGATGAGTCCGAATGAGTTAGAACTCGATCTTGAAGAATATGATTATTTTGAAAATATGAAAGTAGGGAGAGGGAGCAAGCTGAAAGGCTCATAGATTTAACATGATGATTTATTGACTTTTTTAAGTGGAAACATTAAGATAGGACCTTACAGGGAGGACATAACATTCAAGTCATAATTGATTGCTTGGTTAATTAAATTAAATGTTTTTATTTATCTCTCATCTCCATTAGCATAGAGCCCCCATCTTTCCGCATTCTAATTGCTCAGTCATCTCCTGGCTGGCCCTGTGAGGCGGGTTCTGACAGGGAGACAATCGAGGGGACCAGGGGAGCACTCCGGGGGGAGGGATTCCAGGAGGAGTCACCCAGGACAAAGGAGCCCCAAGTCCCAGCTATTAGTAAATTGGGTGCTGGGGAAAACAGGCTTGAAGGGCTGAGCGAAAGGGATTATTACAGGTTCCTAATGGCTGGGAATTGATTTATTAGCACAGCACTGCATTTGCATGCAAGACAGAAAGTTGGTAATAACCCAGAGTGGGAATTTGCAGGAAGAGTGGTGGAGGGTTTGGGGCCACAGAGTAGCCTCTGCAGGGGTTTCTTTGAACTTCTTTCCTGCCACCAGGAGCCTTTCTTAGGAGAGCAAAGAGATCCTTTCCAAACAGGAGAGCATTCTCAAAGACTGCCTTCAGGAGCTCAACACACTTGACAACAGGAGGCCAAGACAGTCCTGTCTCGGTCCTGAATTTTGTAGATAATAATAGCAGCACTTATGTGGTGCCTACTTATGGCTTCTGTGCCAGACTCTGTTCTCAAGATGCTTCGCACGTGCACTGACTTACTAAATCCTCACAACATTAGAGGATGCTGCTAAGAATTTCCTTTTACAGCTGAGCAAACAGGCACCCAGTTAATGGCTGAGATGTGGCAACTCTAGGATTTGAGGCTCTGCGATCTGGCCTCAATAACGCCCTCAATCTCAGAGTCATCCACGAAGGAGCAGAACTTGCCCTGATTTAAAATGACTTCGTTGAGTACTTCCCTCCCCCTCAGAACTCTGGTACCCTGGGCCCCCACCTCCTAATTTTCTAAATTAATCTGGTCTCAGATCCTTCATTCACAGGCATGCCTACTAAGCCCCTTCAGTCTTGTCTGACTCTTTGTGACCCCATGGACTGTAGCCCACCAGGCTCTTCTGTCCCTGGGATCTCCAGGCAGAAATACTGGAGTGGGTTGCCAGTGTCCACCTCCCCCAGGGCCTTCATTCACACTAAAGTGTAAATGACTGAAAACCTCTTAAAGGGATACCCCTTCATGGGAAAACCTGCTAGTGTTAGACCAAAGCTTTATTAAAGGTGGGGTCTGAAGCCACCTCAGGAATGTGGGTCGTGGGTGGGATCTGGACCCTTCAGGGTCACACTCTGCAGACTGGTGGGCCCCCAGTGTTTGGGGGCCGGGCCGCCAGGAGGATGGAGCTGGGTGGGGCCTCCAGCGTTCCCCACGCTGGCCGCGCGCCCGAGTTCATGGTCTCTGCCGGAGCTGCTGGGAGCCTTGCAGAACCCAGCAGCTGCCAGCCCACACTGACTGCGTCGTTGGCAAACCTGGTATGAAGTTTACAGCGTACTTCACAGTTTTACAAGTGTGCGTTCGATGTAAATCTTCTCGAACTACTCACCCTCCTGGGGCAGGTTGCCTTGGTCCTCCTGCCAAGCCCGCAGCCGTCCCGGACACGTGGGGCTTTGAATGGCGGTCCCCGCAGCTGGGATCAAAGCAGACATGGGGGCACGCCGGGGACAAGAGTGGTCTCTTGGTAGGCGTCGGGAGAGAACAGAGACCCCCCACCCTGAGTGGCCCGGAAGAAAGGTCCAAGTCCTCCTCGGGTGTCATGATACATGTGCCCTACCGAGGGGACCTTTCGATGGAGTCCTGGGGAGCCCAGGGTTGCTGGCGGGGACCACTTATGAGGCCGCCCCCATCAGGGGAGCCGGCCCGCCCTAGATCTGGGACTCGTGTGTGGCCTTTATGGGGCATGACCAATGGCTCAAGGCTTGGGCTGGCAGCCGTAAGCCTTCATCCTGGGCAGGAATTCTAATTAAACTGGGGCTCCTGGGTCTTGCTTACAGAGAGTTCAGCACCAGACTCTGCCTTTCAGGCCCCAGCAGGCCGGTCATATCGAATGCCACCTGCAGAGCCGGGGGCTCAAGGGTCCCCTACTTGTCTCCTCAGTGGATGCGGATGGGGGGGTGTGGAACCCAGAACTGATGCTGGGGGCCTGCCCTGAGCTTTGATGTGAATGCATCTCTGGAGAAAACACATTCAGCGGCCTCTCCCATCATCCCGGTGCTTCTCTTGGCAGCCGCTCTTCCTGCTGTTTGTGTCCTTCTTTTGTATTTGTCATCTCTATCTCTTGCCTTGATGATGAACTGGGTTTAGGTCTTCAAGGACCCAGGAAATTTCGAGGTGCTAGAATAACCCCATCCTGGCTTATCCAAGGGCTCAATGGGCAGGGGTTTCCTTAGACGGGTTACCAACATCAGGGTCCCTGGCTCATGAGAGATGGATGGGGTTTGGAGGGCTTTCTAGAGAAGCTTAACCCAGAGCTGAACCCTGAACGACTGGTAGGGTTTGTGGAGGAGACAGGAAGCCTGAGGGACAAAGAAAGAGCTGTGTTGCACATTTTTAATAAAATTGGAAGTTTATCTGCATAATAGATGTCCTTAATTCCCAAACTCATCTCATTCTGGTAATTTCTTTTTTTAAAAAAATTAATTAATCAATTAATTTGGCTGTGCTGGGTCTTCACTGTGGTGTGTGGTCTCTCTCTAGTTGCTGTGTGGGGGGCCTATTCTCTAGTTGTGGTGAGCAGGCTTACTGTGGTGGCTTCTTTTGTGGTTCTCGGGCTCTCGGGCTCACGGGCTCAGAGGTTGTGTCCCCCGGGTTTAGTTGCCCGGTGGCACGTGGGATCTTCCGGGACCAGGGATCAAACCCGCCCCGTGTCCCGTGCATTGGCAGGTGGGTTCTTAACTGCTGAACCACAAGGGAGGTTCCACATTCTGGTAATTTCTAAAGTGAAGGGTTGGCGCGCCCCTGCTCCCCTGCCATAGTTAACGTTCAGACCGTCCTGTGGCTACTGATTTTCCCCTTTAAATGATGGCCGCTTTAGTCTGAGGTCGGCAGTCCAACTTGAAAATGTGTGTGGTTGTGGCTGGTGATGGTCATGGGGAGTGGGGAGGCAACATACCCCTTGAGCTTTTACTGAAGTTGTGCAGGCAAGTGCATGAC